TCTCATCTTTTTAAGTGGGAGAACTTGCACAATTGGTGGCTGACTAAATACTTTTTTGCCCCACTGTAACTGAAAATACTCTGGTTCTACATCCTCCAGGAAAACAATGCACAATGCATAGTTCGTACCAGTTAATGTGTTATGCGGGTGGTAAATGTGGCAAGGTTATTGCACGCATGAAGATGGAAGAATAATGAAATACCCGCAGTAGAGGATTGGATTATAAAACTGATGGAGCTTGCAGAGATGGACTTTTTGCTGAAAGAAGAAAAGACATTTATTGGCCAGTCCTAACTGCCATGAAATCCTTAGTTAGTCCTGTTCAGTTACCCTTTTAAGAGAGTCCGAAGTTTGAGAACTCTTGAAGCAGGAGGTTACAGAGAATCATAAATCACAATAAGCATCATATGGTTAGTTTGCTTTTGGTAACTCAAACTTAACGTTGGTATCTTAAGGTGATGTACAAAATCAGGCTACTATGGAAGGTCACAAAAATGCATGGTTAAAAAGAAAACGTGCTTTGAGTTGTCTTTGAATCAGGTGGCCGATTAAGGGACTTTCATGGAACGTGGAGATAGGCGAAGCTGCCATTACCTTTTCCATGCACCGCCGAAGCGTGTTAATGTTCCTGACCCACCAGCCGATCCCCATGGCTCTCAGTTCGGACCACTGGGGGTCTCCTCTTTGAATTGCGGGAATCATGTTGATCAGTTCTTCCTCTGCTTCCGAATGAAAAGCCCAAGCAAAGTGGCAGGTGGAAACTCCTATACAACGACAAAAGGACACCTGTTTTCAAAACCTTTGAAAGAGCTGGTAAGTAATCGTTGCCAGCTTACCACAACAGAGGAACGGGTGGTGAAGATGATGAGAGTTGCAGAGATGACTACATTGACTTCCTGGATTAGAGAAATGACAGTGTCTACGTTTATGGCTGACTGGAAACTTCTGTTTCCTTCCAAAACTGGAGGTTTTTGCATGAAACAGAAAAAAATGCACTTACGATTTGTGGTTTTGATGATTAGGAAAAAAAAAAGATAATAGAAAAAAGTGAGGTTTTTTTTGTAACCCCAGAGTAAGAGATTGCTTTGTAATTATACTTGTAACAGCTGCAAAGGAAATCGGAAGCTTTTTCTACTACTTTTCATCTTTTTTCCTCCACGTGTGCCTTTTTCTCTCTTTGTGTTCGTCATTCTGTATTAGGGTCTGTTAGTTTTTATCTTCTCTTTAAAACTTTGAACAACATTTATATATATAAAAAGGAAGAACCTGGTAAATTATGGTCAGGGAAAAACAATGTGGACTTCTTTGAAAGATTGGAAACATTTTATGGACTTTTGGGTGAAAGAAGAAAAGACTGAATTGATGATTTATGGATTTGGGGATTAGAAAGGGTTAAAAAGGGAGGGGAAAGAGCAATTGCTCAATAGAAGAATGGCGGAAGTCCGAATTCTATATTTTCTTTATCTTCATCTTTTCTTTTTTCCTAGCTTCTCTTTTCTTATTTTTCTTTTTCTTTTTTATACTTCTATTGCATTCCAAAATTCTACCAAAAAATTAAAAAAAAAAACGCCGATAAATTATATTTATTTACAGGACTTATATGGCCGCCTATCCCATATAATGATTCTAGGTGACTCATAACAATCCATAAAAACATGGCTAAAAACAAAAGAAACCCCCCCCCCCCCCCCAATATTGCAAAATAATGCATCAGACCTGGCTAGAGGGGGAAGAACAGGTAAAAAACTATTCCTACAATGTATTAATTTATTTACCCATGTATGTACAGGGAGTCCTGGGGTTAAGAACGCCTGGGTTACAGACAACCCATAGTTAGGAACAGAGCCTACTGTAGCAAAATTTGAGTTAAATACACAATGATTTGAGTTCATTACACAATGGATTGAGTTAATTACACAATAGCACTTATACCATACTATACAATAATACTGTTGTGGCTTATATACAAATTCGACTTAAGGACAGACCTTGGGAACGGAACTTGTTCTTAAACAGGGACTACCTGTACCCGGCATATCAGCACAGCTGTTCGTGACTTGCTGAGAATGATACAATCTTGCCACCTTGCTGATTAATTATGGAACAGGAAACGAGATTTAAGAAAGCAAGGAAACGTTTCCAAGTTCGCTAATGTGGCAAACAGTAAGGCTGTGCAACGCTTCCGATTTGATCTCCAAAGGATTCTTCAAAACGCACAGGCAAATGTGTGGATCCTGGCAAAGGGCAGGGCTGCAGGTGTTGCAGAAATGTGCTCAGTTTGTACTCACATACATTTCTGAAGTACGTTTTGGAAACGGAATCCAGAGCCCTGTACGCCCCTGGTAAAGAATGTAATAGATGTCAACAGGCAAACATGATAGGCGGCGCTCAAGAACCCAGCTGTTGAGGCTGATGTCTCATGTTTTAAAATGGATTGTTCCAGCATAAAAAGTGTAACTCCTTATTACCTTGATGAAGTAACTGAACACGATATAAAGGTGGAAGGGATGTCAGAAGGCAGGTATGTAAGCGCATTGCTAATAAATACCGCAGACCACACTCATCTAAAGTGTCTCTCCCTGGAAAAGCAAACAAAATATTTTACTATGGTGCAATCAAAGATCTGTGTGATTTGTTTAAGTTAGTTATACAACAGTTTCTGAGCAACTTATATATGCAGACATGCATATAGACACTCACAACTGTGTAAACAAATTAGGAAGTCTTGAAATAAGCAAGGATAGCTAATCAACAAACCAGAGGTTCATATCTCAGTTTGTTCCAAAACAGTTAACTATAGCATCCTATTCAATCCAAAGCATGAAATTATAATCAGTGATTTAATTGTTTCTAAGAAAGGTCATATATTAGTTTAATAGGGAAATTGGACAAAGACATGGAAATGCTCCCACACATATAAGTCTTCATGATATGCTTATTAAAGGTGCCTAAAACTGAATCACAAGTCAGAAAATATAACTGCAGCTTAAAGATACCCCCATCAATTCCTAAAAGCTTTATCTATTGTGTTGCAAACAATTTTAGGAGCTAGAGTCAGCTGGCCCAATTGACATTTTAGATGATTAAAAGGATAAGGCTCTGCTAAAAGCCATCAAAGCATCATACATGCCATGATGACCTCAAATTCACCATGATACACATGACATTTATCACCCTGTGGATACCTATGATTAACAGAGAATTGTATAAGAAGGTACAGTTCCCCAAGATCATTATGATTGTCTTTTCACAAACCCAATGTTCCTGCATAATTCCATCTCATCTCATCTCATCTCATCTCATCTCATCTCATCTCATCTCATCTCATCTCATCTCATCTCATCTCATCTCATCTCATCTCATCCCATCCCATCCCATCCCATCCCATCCCATTTTTATTTCTTCTAAACCAATGTAGCATCCTAAGAAATTAGACCACTTATTTACCTGAGTAGTGCTTGTCTCGGTTTTCATCCAGTTCAGTACTTGTGGTGGCTACCGTGTCTGCTAGGGCTACCAAAAACATTTGCTCTAGGCGAGTGAGTCCAGGTAAACTTGAGTGCATTAAATGGCTTGATAGCACACTTGCATGCTCTTGGCCAAAGTATGTTGGGCCATACTGAGAAAGGTTAATCACTTTAGATTTATGTTCTCTTCTCTCTGGCTCAAAATCTACAAAGTCATCTGTTGTAACCTGCTGAACCTGGAAAAGATCTGAGTATTGATCCTCAGCCTTCCTCTTAGTACGATCTTCTAGGTTCTGAATTTGTTTAGGAGCTTCCTCAGTTTTGTATGTGGAATCTTGATCTGCGGCAAGCAAGGCATACAATGGTAGTGGGGGGATAGAATCAATCTCTGTATAATCCCGCGTGCCTTCTTTCCCGGTGGTGACTGCATCTTTAGCCGTGCTGCCGCTTACACTAATAGTACGGGACAGATGGCGCTTGGAGCCACCGTCAGTGGATTCTGGGTCCTTCACGATAGCAACTTCCCCTGCAATGCATTTTACAAGGTGGGACAGAATAGCTTTTGCTCTGCGAACTTTCCCCAAGTCCATCAGCTCTAGAAGCTGGGTGGGATGATACTGTGGGAGGGTTGGTGAAAGAACATGGGCTGCTTCAAAAAGGCCGCCATCCTGAATGACGGTGGGGGTTCCAAAAACATCATCCACAATGCCTGCTCCATCAATGATGCTGGTTTTTTTGGCTAGAAAGCTAGCCTTGAGTGGGTCCTTAGCAGGGGAACTGTCAGGTAGAAAACCATTGCTCTCCCCGTTCCCTGATTTTATGGCATGCTTCCACTGAGCATAGACATGCATTTCACAGTCCATTCCCACAACCAGGATACCATCTCTTACCCAAGAAAGAGAAACAGGCAAGGACGGGGTGCCATCTACTGAAGACACCAAATCAATGGATCGCAGAAGTACCCATTTGGACTTGATGCCTTGTTTGATACTCCCACCTAGGGGTAAAGTAATGACAGCCAGACCATCCTTGCTGCTGGTTTGTTCAGTCACAATTCCCGAGAGCCGTCCATACATGAATATATTTGCACCGACCCCGACTGTAAGTATATGTGAACCATCTTCCTTGGAAACCCAGTCCAAGTGTACCAGATGTTTGATGTTTGGTATAAGGTACCGGTCCTTATTCAAAAAGATTTCGGATTTACTGTACACAAATAAGTTACTGTCTACACTAACCCTTGAATCCAGGACGCTCCCAACTTTAACTAGGTCATCCAGATGAATGGTCTGCTCCAAAACCCATTCTGATCCTCCAGTAGATTCACACTCAAATATACACACATGCATCGAAAATTCTTTGGAAACAAATCCACTCTGCTGAATTGGCTGCTTGTAAGCTACGGCCAAGCGACCAGTGTAAGAACAGCTAACTGCTACTGGTCTTCCCACTATGCAAACGGTGCTGCTGGCATCTTCTTGCTCTTCGTTCATCAAAGGCCACTGTTTCCAGTGATAGGTTTCTTTTGTTTCACCTTGGCTGTTTTCTGTAGCCTCTACGGAACACCTCCAGAATCGTACTTTGTTGTCTGAACAAGACGTTACCAACAAGTAAGGGGCCAGGCAGACAGGATAGATGGACGATGAGCTTAGATGCCCTGAATTAAATCAGAGAATTATTCAGTGTTAGGATCCCACGGAATGACAATTTCATGAACGCAGACTTCAAAGCAAGCCTATCTTGGGTTTAGGCTAACTGAAATTGTTGATATAGTGATCTGACAATTGCATCAATAGTTAATTTATTATAAATACCATTTATAGCAAGGGTAAGTATGAGTCCATATGTGGTTCTCTGGGTAATTTCAAAACCACTTTTTAAATTATCATTTATTACACATGTTTCTGAGCTGCTCCACCTGAAGTGGCTTTGAGCCAGGTACAGCCAAAAGGAGGATTAAAAATAGCAGAGCAAATTTAAAACATAAATCATAATAGCATAATTCAGCAGGGGCAGATCCTGAACTGAACATCCTGCAAATGTTCTCTCCCAAAACCAGGTTTTTACTTTTCTGCAGAAACTCATCAGGAAACTGGCATCCAATTATTCTACAGGAGGGGGCACCATTGAGAAGGCCTTACTACGGGTTCCCTGCAGACAGAACTCATGTAAGAAATGAGATTAAATCAGGGGTAGGTAACCTTTTTGGGGTCAGGGCATATTTCAAACATTGAACACACTCAGAAAAGGGCTGTCATGGTGAACCCAGCCAACTGAAAAGCTCTCCTACCAGAAAATGATTGAACCCTACAGGATGCTTCCCACCCTCTCAATAAGATCTTTGGGGCACAAAAGGCACGGCTGTAATACTTATATTGGAGGCTAATGTTTTGCTTTGCAGCGTGCCAACCCTATACTGATTTATTTTTCATTAGAAAAAACGTTAACCATCTTGAGATGGATGGAGCCTGAAGTTTGGGAGAGGGATGTCAGGAAGAGAAGAAAGAGGTGTCAGATCATAAATGGTGCATCCTCACCTTTCTCTTTCTTCTGATCCCACTCATTACTTGCTTCAACATTGCCCTACTGCATAATTCCAGACTATCTCTGAGAGAATGCAGACCCTGACATTATTATATAAGTTTATAGTGGTTAAATTTATGCATTTGCATAATTTGTTGGAAATCTCAAGCTTCCATCCAAGAAGGGTTATCACTAACTGGTTTGTCCGTCCTCCCATTTTACCTGCAGAAGGAGTAGCTCGTACAACCTCCACACCAGGTGGCAGATCCAATGGGTAACTGTAAACCAGGCTAGAACTCAGTATAAGTTTACTAGCTGTCTGAAGGTTAGCCACCGATGAAGAACGCAGCATTGGAGTTGTGCCAGGTGAAGTCTCTGGAGAAGAATCAGCTACTGGTTGCCCAGGAACAGCTAATTGGTGTCCCACTGAATGAACATCAGCAGATGGTCCTTGAAAGAAGCATAATAGACAAACAACTTTAGTGGAACAAGGACAGACTGTTTTTATTATTTTTTAAGGCAAACATTCAAGGTATATGTGAACAGTTCAAAACAAAACCGTTTAATTCCATTTATGTTATTGGTTTTGAACTATCTGCAGATATACTTCATGGATGAGCTTCTTGTACTTCCATCTATATGCTGAGAACTAAGCCTTGCTCACACTATGCTCAATGGAAGTTATTCCCCTGATACACGTGCATAAGACTACAATCGAGGTAATAACATTCCATAGGTGCATTGGGTACAATCTGACCTAGGTTAATGACCACTGGATTGTAGCCTAAGAGAACCTCAGCAGCCTGATCATGTTCAAATTTAACAGGACTTTCCTGCAAGTCATCACTAGTCCTATTTGATCCATAACTCTTCTTAAAACGCTCATCAAATTCAAGACAGTAAAGTACATTGACCATCGCAGCATACTCTTTGTTTTGTGTTACAGGATGGAAGATTGAACAGAAAAAGAGAGTTTTTTTCTTACAAACCATGTGAACTGTGTCTTAGGGAGATCAGCTAAAACTCAGCGTGAAATGCTTATTTGGCTTGAAAGAAAATCCCAGTTCAGTTTCTAACATCTCTAGGTAGGGCTGGGAAATACTCCAGGCTGAAACTCTGGATTTATTTTTTCAATGAATGTGAGCAATATGGAACAAGAGAGACGAATTTCTTATGTTCTCCTAGTCTTTGGTCCCATGACCGGAAATGTTGCCTTTTCCAATTTAGGCATATTTTAAATGCTTTTTCCAACTGTCCTTAAGCTTGGAGCAATCTTTTCTGTTCCAGTGACCCACTTACAGAGCCCTCTGCTTTGACAAGCCCACCCAGTACTTTCACTGCTCTTATTTCAGTACAAGGGAAAAATGATTTTGCATTTGAGTTTTCCTGATTCGTTCTACTGCTCTGTTTTCGTTTTCTAAATTGCTGGGGGGCAGGGGACCTTTTTCAGATCAGAAACAGGATAGAATGCTTAAATAAAGCATGGAATACCTATAGTTATGGAGATCAGGAATTCAGATGTATTAATGTGGAACAGCTTCACTCACCTAAACATGCTTGGACAGACTTAAGGTGTAAATGCCACATGTGAAGTATTGAGTAGCCATTGGTGTCCTTCTCAATTACAATTAGGTAAAACTTTTCAGAGAAGGGTGGTGGCCGATAGCCTGTTGAAAAATAAAATACATTACATACTTGATATTGCAATAAAAAATAAGTATATTGCCCTTTCATTAGACAACATTATCTATCTATCTATCTATCTATCTATCTATCTATCTATCTATCTATCTATCTATCTATCTATCCATCCATCCATCCATCCATCCATCCATCCATCCATCCATCCTAACCTAACCTAACCTAACCTAACCTAACCTAACCTAACCTAACCTAACCTAACCTTACCTACCTACCTATAAAAAATAACAGTGCAAGAGTTGTTAGAACAGGTAAGAGAAAATAAATCACAATTCAGTCCTGGGAAAGAAGGAGCATGAGAAACAAACTTAAAATAACCTTTTCTTGATTCTGTTTCATATATGAACATACATTTCATATATGAACAGCACTGAAGATGTTACCTAGGCAGGTACTGAAATGACTGTAAGAAAACAACCCAGCTCAGAGAACCCCAAGGACTCCACAGTTCAACCCTGAGCTACAGATGTTCTCTACTATTAGCAAGTTCTTCTCCTTTCCAGCCATCACAAGGGCTCAGTGGGCTGGGTTCACAGCAATTTTTAAATCATGGTTTTTGAATCAGTCATGATTTGCTCACTAAATCTCACATAAAGCTTACATTCACAATGGTAGCCTTCATACCTCCTATCAAGCCACAGTAAGCAAACCACATTATAGTTTAGCATTATGTATGAACCCCACCATTCTGGAAATCCGAGTTTACAGATACAATTAGCTTACAAAGAGCATCACAAGACCTTTAGAAGGTTGGAAAAATATCTCTGTTTCCTTCCGCTCCACCTCTTCCTTCTGCGGCTTGTATCCCAAAATGAAGTCCTCTTGAAAGACGTGAAGTAATTGTGTGTTTGAACCACACTAGAAGCAGCATCAAGAAAAATGAGCAAATTGTAACTTTCCAAGTAATTATTTACAGCACAATTCAAGGTATTAGTCCATATTATAATGGGTAAGTTATTTACCTGGTCAGTTATGACATCCAGTTCAATAATGCATCCTGGTCGAGCTGTTGACTGCTGGCTTACAATGTTAAACACTTCTCCAATAAGTTTCTAAAACAGAAAACATGAGCAAACCTGGAATTGTCAGTTATTTTAATGCTTAATTGCACCATGGCCTTCTAGATCCCATGATAATAGTGCTTTGTCAATTTTATCATTTATAAAATCAAGGGCCCCCCGTTGTGGGGAGATGGGCAGGGACAAGTCTATTAAACAAACAAACAAACAAACAAACAAACAAACAAACCTGCCTGGGCACTCTGAGATTCATTGCTCAGGGTATCTCTCTTAAGCACCCAAGTTTCTTATTACTTAACTTAAGGAAGGGAGCCTTTTCTATATTTGTAGAATGCCTTCCAGGAAGACACATCAGAAGAGATCTATATCATCATGACTAAGACATTCCTCTTCTCGTAACATTTTCACACTGAGAGTGGATCCAGCCATACTGTTGGGCAAAGTAAAGCATTGTCCCAATCATCAGATTTTGGTGCCAATGAAAAGCAGGAAGTACTCTGATCCTCTTATTACAATTAAGAGAGGGAGTTGTGAGATTTCCTACCTCATATGCCCAAAACACCAGTTGACCTTAGATACTTTGATTCCACACTGAGATTTGTCTGGCCCCCAACTGACCATTTTTAAAAGAGCCCTTAAAACCTGGCTGTTCCCCCAGGCCTTGGGTTAGACTGGATGGTGGCTCCTCTGTGTTGTATTATTTTTAGAATGCATGGTCTTTCTTTTTTCACATTCCTCTGGTTTAAGTTGCATCTTTTTTTTTTTTTAGTAATGATGCTATTGCTATAATTTGCAGCCAGAGTCATTATGGAGTTGGGTGGCCTTCTAAATTTAATAAATCAATACTACTGTATGTACCAAGACTGGAGAGATGGAGTAAAGGAGGGGGCATCTTTACTGCTCTGCATCTGAATCCATCTACTGCAGGAACAGAATGAAGGCTATAACTGGCAGCAAACTGAGGCGATGGGCAGATGTTCTGAAATAGTCTCAAAACAAGATTGGCAAAGGACTCAGCACATTCCAAACCACAACGCCTTCTCTGGCTTCTCCCATAACTAGGCTAGTCATCCTATTAGGGTAAATCTGATGGAAAACAATTTAAAGGCCAATTTAACTGAAACAACAGCACTGAGTCTGAAGGTACATTTTGGGCAGAGTAGAGTAGAACAGAGTAGAGCAGAGTGTAGAGTGTAGAGTGTAGAGTGTAGAGAGTCAAAGTCAAAGTCAAAGTCAAAGTCAAAGTCAAAGTCAAAGTCAAAGTCAAAGTCAAA